CATGTAGAGTGATGGCCCGCCGTGCTTCGCACCCTCCTTCTTGCCTCCCGATCCAACAGTAGGCCCTGAGCCAACTTGGCCATCTACTGGTAGCTCTGCCTCGGAATCCCAGCCTGCAAGAATGGCGGTTATACCGAAGGGACGGACACTCGAATAGAGGGTATATGCTTGGGCATAGCTTCCCATGCGGTCGGCGAGAGACGAGGAGGGGATGGGTGCCTTGTAGAGCTGCCGCCATTGGGCTGCCTCATCGCGGGCACGGGAGACGAAGTGGCGACCGTCGGGGAGAAGACCGGAAGATACGATGCCCATATTACGATCCACAGTAGCTATCCGCTTGTTCGCGCCTGGCTTGAGGAGCTTGCTGCTGACGAGCTTCTCGAGAGCGAGTACGACGCCATCCTTGCACTTGATGCCGACCGCTGTGCCACCGTTCTCTACCGCCTTGACCGCGTATTCGACCTGGAAGTTCCGACCATCGGGCGAAAAGACCGAGTTGGACAGGTCGTAGCCCGTACCTATTGAAGTCTACGCCATTGTTAGGTCGACTGGGGTGCTTGCACTGCTGCGGTGGGGTGTTTACCATGAAGGGCGGGGTGAGGACCGAAGACGGCGATTTGAAATTTCCGGTATATCAAGCAGTTTCCTGGGTTTAGAGGAACAATTACCGTAATAGCAAACGTTGAAAGTCGAGCGTCCCGGTGTTGATGATTCTAGGCAATGGGGTATCTGCGCAAGCTCCAGTAGCTCACTAGCGCGCCAAGAAGACCCCCGGGCCCCGACACCTGGAGGCATCAACACCGACGTACGCAAGTCACGACGCCCACAAGCATTGCAACTTTTGAACTTTCTTATGGCGTGCTATAGACCTGTTCGTGCGATATGCTCCCTCGCTGCTGGTCTGTTCTGTATTGGTGTGCCCGCCGCCTGTTGTCCCGGCTTCTTCCGCCTGGACCGCTCCAATTGCACCCGCCTTACATCCAAAAGTGCATACGCCCATACACATTTGATGAGTTGTCGTCCCAACTCGACCACTATTTCCAAGCTCCAAAGACACACTATTGGCTGTCAACGGGCTAGCCGAACAAGTTGGGTTTCAGCTTCGTCACTAATTGGATGTGGGCGACAAAATTATCAGAATCATCCCGCCTACACGCATGACCCCGACAGCGCGCTATACTCGACAGTACATAAAGAACCACCATCACACTGCTCCTGATTTTCCTGCTGACCCCTCTTCACTGCTGACTTGATTCGAGTATCTTTGAATACCTCTCTCTGTTTATTCTTGACTACAAAGGCGCCTTTGATCCCATCCCCGCCGATTATCGTCAGCGCCCAACCAACGCACCCGCGGATAGTACGGTTCAAGATCTAAACCAACCGCGAAACTCAAGTCCGAGTACCCAAGCTTGTTCAACAATAGATTTGATCACTCTGAGTGTCATCCGACTCGACAATTAATATATTCTTCAACTTTCCGTTTTGCAGAAGTTGCCCCTCATACCCACTTGCTGTTGAGATCCTAGAGGATATGCAGCTCCTCCACCACTGCAACTGCACTTACGATACGCCCATCTCGTACAGTCCTTTTGCATTTTCCCAGAATATATCCTGCTCAAACGTAAGCTCGATTGTCTTTGATGCTGCTAAGTACTAACATTACGTCATAGTGCGGCACAATATCTACAGGCATCAACGTTCAGGGGAAAGCAGCAGAAGACGCAAACATGCAGCAGGATGAGCTTACCCGGCTGTTTTCAGTCAATATGAACTTGTCGCAAGGCAACGAACAGCCCATGCAACCACAGATGCACCAAGAACAACCAGTGCAGCAACAGCAACAGCAACAGCAGGAAGACGCTCCCAAACAGATCGTCTATGCTTCCCAGCACTATACACATTCGTATCATGTACCTACTCGTAGTACTTCCGAACCAGCCTTGAAGACACACATCGACTCGTCGGACCTCGCGGCTGTACTTCTAAGGAACAGCATTGATCCCTCTCTCCTGTTTCCTTCCCAGATCGAGTTGTTTCAAAATGCAGACGACGACCAGCGGCTGCGTCTCCTCGAACTTTGGCGTATATCCCCTCCATCAGGGCGCCAAGGTCATCCAGCAGGCGTGGACTACAACATGTCTAGACAACTTTACGGCTGGCCGCCCACCAGTCTAGCACAGGAGGAGGCAATGGCGAAGCTGAGATACGAGAAGCAGCAAGCGGAGTCGGCGCAACAGGAGGCCATCCAGCAGCACCAGCAGCAGTTGGAGCAGAGCATGGCTGCAGCAAACGCTGAGCCCTACATGGCTTCGGGATATGAAATGATGGCTAGGCGCGAGTATGAAGAGTCGGCACGAGCCGAGAAGGCGTTGAAGGAATCGAACAAGTACAACCAGGCCACTGATCCGGTCTACAACAACACAGGAAGTAGTGGACTCTGGCAGAAGAACGTGGGCAGCGTCGCGGACATGGAGAACAACTACGGAGCGTATGCATATGCGCGAGAATATGGACTACAGGGTGGCTATGGGGACGAGGAGATGGTCATGTGAAGCATGACATTCCTACTCCGGACTTCCTAAGGATGTGTGTGTTTATCCAAATTTCCTACATTATACCCAGAATCAGTTGCACACACGAACAATAACGTGGAGGGGTTGTCGAAGATGAGATAGTTCAGTTAGCAGCATGTCCTGGCAGGACTACATTGCTATGTATCAATCCAGACGCACTTGAACTTGGTTGCCTAGTGAAATAGAAGAATGTTGGTACATTTGAGTGGCTGTTTTCCAAAAAAGGTTCGAGAACAGGCAGTCTATTTCGCCTTTCCACTGGGCCACTTCTTCCAGCCTCTTCCGTGTCCCCTCTGTTTCCATTCCTGGATCAAAGCGGGCATGTTCAGCATAGCCTGTCTCCTCATCTCCAAACGTCCCTTCAGTGTTCGCTCCCACAGCTTTCCCTTGACCTTCTGTCCCTCACCTGTGCCCTTGACTTGCAGTCCTCTTTCTACCCTCCGCCTTTCCTTCTCGCCTGGCTTTTTGATGGTCCAGGGTAATAGATCGACGACACCGTGTTCTGATGCAAGCTTGACGAGGTCAGCTTGTTTCCGGAGCCCGTAGGCGGGAGAGTGCCATCGTCCGGTTGCGAAGTTCTTGTGTGGAAGAAATGGGTTTGGGTAGGGCAGATCGTGTGCTTCTGGCGGTATGTCTGAATTTGAAGGCGCATTTGAGGGTCTTGGGACGACGTCTGGAGCCGAAGTCTCTGTCATGGAAGCATTGGGGTCGGTTGGTGGGGTTGTCGATATTGTGTCTGGGGTTGCGTGTGAAGTCGGTGATGCGAGTTGAGATGAGAGACTGGGGAAGAGCGATGGTGGCGGGTACTTTTGGAAGAAGCGCAGTAATCGCGGCGGCAGCGACTTTGCAATCTCGACAGACTTCTGGGCGCTCATGGTGGGTATCTTGTGCGTTGCGATCCGTATCGGCGTGTCTGCTCGTGCATGTCTAAAAGTTGCAGCGCCAAGGCGGTCTTAAGCTACGAGGGTAGCCTCCAGGGTGGAGCTTGCTCGCGCCTCGCCGCGTACTGAGCTGTAACCTTGAGTACATCACAAGCACAACCAACACCACAGCTTTCAACACACACACACACACACACACCGGGGAGCTTCTACTCCTCCTCTGTAATTGTAGACACCAACCAAGCTTCGCTCTATATCACATACACAGCCATGGTAAGCCCCCCACTGTCAAGTTATAGCCCATAGCTAACCGCAACAGTCGTCACCATTCTCAATAAGTACGCTCCCACCGACACCATCCCGCATACTCTTCTAACCACTTGAACAGACGGCGGTGCCTGTGTGGCCATGGTGGGCAAGGACTGTGTAGCCATAGCATGCGACCTGCGTCTCGGCATGCAAGCCCTCACTGTGTCCAACAACTTCCCTAAGATCTTCCAATACGGCGACGTCTTCCTGGGTCTCACTGGCCTCGCCACCGACGTTTCTACCGTATCAGACCTCTTCCGCTACAAGGTCAACATGTACCGCCTCCGCGAAGAGCGCAACATCAGCCCCCAGACCATGGCGAACCTCGTAAGCTCAAGTCTGTACGAGAAGCGCTTCGGACCCTACTTTATCAGCCCGGTGATCGCCGGTATCAACCAGACGAGCGGGAAGCCCTTTATCTGCGGATTCGACAGCATTGGATGCATCGACTTTGCCAAGGACTTTATTGTTAGCGGAACCGCGAGCGATCAACTCTTCGGTACATGTGAGGGGCTGTGGGAGCCGGATCTGGTGGGTTATATCGCCAAGTATAGTTGGGTTAGACTAACATCCATGATAGGGCCCCGAGGACCTCTTCGAGACGATCTCACAGGCGCTGCTCAACGCTGTCGACCGAGACGCACTTTCTGGCTGGGGCGCACACGTTTACATCATTGAGAAGGACAAGGTGACCAAGCGATTACTCAAGGGCAGGCAGGATTGAGGTGGTGCATGGTACGAGGTGGCATATGATCATGTTTATGAGCTACGATGAACATTATGGGGTGCCGGAAATCTGCCTTATGGTTGTGACGGAATAATGGGAAAGACCACGCCGTCTCGTGATACGTACGCGGAATCACTCTAGGTACTCCATCTGAACAGTAGAATGCTGGATTCAGCTTCTGAATCAAGGCATCTCCAAGACCATACCCTTTCTTGCAGCCACCATGGTACAGCTCCCAGGCCAAACTTGAAAGCCTCTAGGTAACAGCACACAACATTGGATGGTCCCTTGATTTACTACCAGCTCCGTACGTTGGTACTCACCTAATGCATATGATGCTCCTGTTACCTGAGGCAATATATGAGAGACCAATCTACGTAGTGGGGCTAGTGTGCTATCGATAGTTATGGTACACGTGATCTGGTGTTGCCTTAGCGTGCATGCAACCTATAGTTCGCGCGAATCCTCCTCCGCGATTCCACAAACTGTGACCTTCGTAATACCAACATGACTGCCGCCGTCCCGCCTCCAGCTGCTCGCAAGCAGCCACCGAGTATCGACGATATACTAAAGGCCAAGCGCGAGAAAGAAGCGGCTGCCGCAAAGCCCAAATTCATACCCAAGGCGGAGAGGGAGCGCATTGCGCTTGAGAAGCGAAAGAAAGAAGTGGAAGAAGCGCAAAAGAGGCGAGAGTCTTCTAACGGAGACAGCAACGCATGGAAAAACTCGCAGGATGATAATCGCACAAACGGTCATAACGGGTCGTCGTCAGTACCTACAGGGCCTCGTTCGATGCGCGATGCGCCAACTGGACCGTCGTCTATGCGGCATGATCGCCGCAATGGAGACATGGCACCTCCACCACCACCGGACAAGAAGGGAAACAAGCGCCCAGCTGAAGACGCAGAGGCATTGATAAGACAACGATACATGGGCGCAGAGCAAAATCAGTCCACGTTTTCGGCCAAGAAGAAGCGCAAGAGGACAACAGAGAAAAAGTTCAACTTTGAATGGAATGAAGAGGAGGATACAAGTCATGACTACAACCCCATCTATCAGCAGAAAGCTGAAGCAAGCTTCTTTGGGCGCGGCAGACTGGGTGGCTTTTCCGAGGAAGTTACAGATGCAGCCACAAAGAAGATGGTCGAGGCGATTATCGAGCGAGATCCGGAGCACGGCAGAGAGCGGGCTGAGGCACTACTTGAGATGGAGCGGCGGCGGAAAGATAGGGGCGGCCGCGCACAACTGGACAAGCACTGGAGCGAAAAGAGGCTAGAAAACATGCGAGAGCGCGACTGGCGCATCTTCAAGGAGGACTTCAGCATCGCTACCAAGGGAGGTGGAATACCGAACCCCATGCGCAACTGGGATGAGTCGGGGCTTCCGGAGAAGCTCATGCGCATCGTCGATCAAGTTGGCTACACTGAGCCCTCACCTATTCAACGTGCGGCTATACCCATTGCTCTACAGTGTCGCGACTTGATCGGAGTCGCTGCAACAGGTTCGGGTAAAACCGCCTCCTTCGTCTTGCCACTACTTGCCTACATCTCACAACTACCTCCCCTCGACGCTTTCAATCGTCATGACGGCCCGTACGCCCTCATTCTCGCACCGACTCGTGAATTGGCTCAACAAATCGAAATAGAGACTCGCAAGTTTGCATCACCGCTAGGGTTCAAGACTGCTGTTCTTGTCGGTGGTCATTCTATCGAGGAACAGTCGTTTCAGATGCGTGACGGAGCCGAGATCATCATTGCCACACCTGGTCGTCTAGTAGACTGTATTGAGCGTAGGGTTCTCGTCCTCAGCCAGTGCACTTACGTTATCATGGATGAAGCCGACAGGATGATTGACATGGGTTTTGAAGAACCTGTAAACAAGATCCTCGATGCTCTACCCGTCAACAACGAGAAGCCAGATGACGATTCTGCCGAAGATCCTAATGCGATGAGAAAGGGAATGTACCGCCAAACCATGATGTACACAGCTACCATGCCGCCAGCCGTTGAAAGAATCGCGAAGAAATATACACGTCGCCCTGCCATCGTTACAGTAGGTAACCAGGGCGAGGCTACTGACACCGTTGAGCAGCGCGTCGAGTTCGTCCAGGGAGAAGAGAAGCGGAAGAAGCGTCTCCAAGAGATTTTGACATCTGGCGAGTTCTCCGCACCCATCATTGTGTTTGTCAATATCAAACGGAACTGCGATGCCATCGCCCGCGAGATCAAACACATGGGCTTCTCATCCGCGACGATTCACGGTGGAAAAACCCAAGAACAGCGTGAGGCTGCTCTTGCATCCCTCAAAAGTGGGCAAACTAGCGTGCTTGTTGCCACAGATCTGCTTGGTCGTGGTATTGATATTCAAGGCGTTCAGTTAGTGGTGAACTTCAACATGCCGGGTAACATTGAAAGCTATACGCATCGCATTGGTCGTACTGGTCGTTTGGGCGCGGACTCGGATAAACCGGGTGTTGCCATTACGTTCTGGGGCAATGAAGATGCGGATGTGCTCTATGACCTCAAGCAGATTCTCATGAAGAGTGGGCTCAGTAAGGTACCTGAAGACCTAAGAAAGCACGAGGCAGCGCAGCAGAAGGGCAAGAAGAGGGGCGAAATCATGGGCAAGAACATTACCTAGTAGTATTCTAATCAGCGTTGATGGTTCTATAGGTGGCAGAGCGGCTGCTATTCGTCACCTCCTAGATGGGCCTCTTTGTGGCTTCAATAGCTGAGTAATACTATATAAAGTCGCCTCACCTTTCCGAGAACATGGTGAGCGTCTCGGCAACGCATAGCTTGCCAGCTGACGGCCTAATGCACGACTCAGTAGTGCCGATCTACCCCGGACTGATGCACTGCTTAAGCCTCAAAACGTTAGCAAGTGGAGCTCGCAGCGTCACTTTGGGCCTCCAAACGGCTGGTGTGCTTTGAAAGCCGCGCGTGGTCAATTAGTGCACGCGCACCGTTGACGCTCGTACACGGAAAATCCCCGCCTCGACGAAAACAAGTCCTTGCTCGATGTCGCTCCCTACCGGCCCGTTTCTCCTGTCAAATCTGTCGCCATGCCCTGCGCTACCGTACGAATCTCCTCTTAATTGATGGAGTCGCAAGTACGCTTCGTGCCTGGTTCGTCGTACAGCGGAGGCGCTGCGCATTGAGTCTGGGACAAAAGCTTCGCAAATGGCGTCGCTGTCTGTCAGCTTTACTTCCAGCGTGACGTCGTCTGTTTTTGCAGCGGAGTCGACACCAGCGTTGGGTACCCTCGAGTCCGCCGGCGCTGGAATCACTGGAGGCAAGGGCTCTAGACACAACAGAAACCCACTTCTTCTGTACTGACACTTCCATAGGTTATACGGGCGACTCTCTACCCCTTAAGATCATTATCGCGTTTCTCCTTGGGCTTTCGCTTTACAACGCTATCGAACTTATCGTTCTCGCATTCGTCACTTTCCAGCGCTACCATGGGCTGTATTTCTGGTCGCTGGTCATCAGCGCTTTCGGCATCATACCATACGCTCTAGGCTTCATCATTAAGTTCTTCCGAGTGCTGGATCCTTCAAGAGATGCTGGATATGTCGCCGTCGTCCTACTTACATTTGGGTGGTACCCTATGATCACCGGTAAGTGCGCTCAGTTTTGGAGGGCTCCAGAATGCAGCTGCTAACAAGCTCCTAGGGCAATCGGTCGTCCTATGGTCGCGTCTCCATCTTGTCACGAATTCGCGCCGAGTCCTTCGCTGGACCCTCTACATGATCATCGTCAATGGCATACTACTGCATTCAATCACGACCGTCTTGACTTTCGGCTCGAACTCGAACTCGCTCTCCGATTCCACGCTCCGTCGCTTCGTTCGCGGATACTCGATAATGGAAAAAATACAGATGGTTGGCTTCTTCGTGCAAGAAACTATCTTGTCGATAGTATACATTAAAGAGACGATACGATTGCTGAAACTCTCAGAACAAGTTCAAGACGACGTGCGAAGTTTCGATGACAGCGTTGGCATGGGGCACCTCAGGAATACCAACGTTCGGAAGACAATGTACCAGCTTCTTGCCATCAACGTACTGATCATCGCCATGGATATTGCCCTACTCAGCGTCGAATTCGCCAACCTATACCTCATCGAAACCACCCTTAAAGGCGTCGTATACTCGATCAAACTCAAACTCGAATTCGCCGTCCTAGGCAAACTCGTTCAACTGGTGCGCGTTCGAGCGGAAAGCGATCAGAGCATGAACAACAACAACTACGCGCGCGGTAACAGCTTCGAACGCCGAAACACCCTGACGCTGGAAAAGACCCCGAGTGGCAGTGGCACCGCGAGCGTAGGCGTATCAGCGAGACTCAACAGCAGCCTGCTCACGCACGACTTTGGCAGCCAGCAATACCCCGACTTTGTGGATTCCAGACGCATTAGTCCGAATGTTACGCACGCGGAGCCGGTGAATGAGGAGACTGGATGGGAAACCCGAGGGCAGCAGGAAGATCAAGAGAAGTGGAGGAGGCGAGCCAGAGTAAAACGTGGGAGCTGGATCGATGAAGAGATGGATAAACATAATATTGGGTGAAGCGACAGATCTTACCTGATACGCTGATGTGTGTTGGATAGGCTCGGCTGACCTCCTAGGTCCTCAGCCAGAGCGAGCTCTCCACACGACAACGACGTCCGTTTCGAAACTTGTGAAATTCAGGCATCAGATAGGCCCCCAATACGGCAATAATCCTGCTGCATGACTTACAGGATATTGGCGAGCCCAGTCGCTAAATTATCAACAACGGCAGTACATGTGCGGCCAGTCGCAGGCACAACATCTGCTCCAATTCCCACCATCGGCGGGGTCCGGCTCCAGCACGGCCACCTTAGAGCGCATCACGGCCTCTTGGAGCTTCCACCGTGCTCACAGTCACCGCCGCTGCAACCTCTCAGTAGGGCACCAAATCTAGGGTCACTACCAGCCGCACCATGCAATGCAGAGGATCTAAATTCCTAGGGAGATAACGGAATTTGCGTTCGCACTAGACATGCACACAGTGGCAATCACTCTTAGTAATAAGTTCAATCTGTTATAGTTCTTACTAGACTACAGCTGTTTTACCTTTTAATCAACCAACTCGAACACAAGTCTGCTGTTTGGGGACGGCGATAGTAGCTAGTCAATGCAATAATCACCAATGAAGGCATCAACGCAAGATGGTTCAATTGACAGAATGACACCCATGTAATCTCTCTTCTTTGCGAAGCATAATCGCAACGACTGACGAAGAATCGAGATTGTTCGGATGAACTTATATATCAACTACCACCAAAACGTACCCTGGGGGGTTACAATACTGTTTTGCTGGTCTGACAGAGTGTGAATGTAGAATACAACGTGAACGTAGAATACAGCGTATATATTTGAGATACTGTTCACAAAAGGGGCAGCAGTGAAGATGTATCATTTTAAGAATTTCGTGTTGATACATTGAAAACCCTTGACTAGGTATCGCCAACGAAAACGCCAGAAACGCCAAAAACACCCAAACTCCAAAACCCTATGCCGTGACATGCCCTTCCTTGTCTATACTCTGCCGTGGACGCAAACAAATCCTCGCTGACTACCGACCGCAAATTATGCATCGTTGTCGAACTCGGACTGATTGGGCACCTTGGGCCCACCATCTTTGCGGATGGGAATCTTGATGCCCTGTTGGGCAAAGCATTTGCTGAGTTTAGTGCTTTCAATCACACCGGGAAACTTCTTGGCCGAGTAGACGGTGAAGGGATCGGTGTAGTTGACGGCAAGACAAGGGCCTTTACCTTTGCTGGGTCCGTTTAGGTTGACAGTGCCGTTTGTGCCGTCGCCGGCGCCAATGTCGAAGAGGCTGAGCTTCAGCCGAAAGGTGCCCTCGGTGCGCACGCTGAGGTCCTGAAGCACAAACCAGAATCCGGGCTTGCCTTCGAGATCGTTGAGGCGGCAGGCGTTGACGGCGTTCATGCCGATGAGGTTGCGCGTGTGATTGGAGCCCACGGGCGTGGCGGGGATCATGGCGGCTTGGGGTTGGCCGTACATTTGGTATTGCTGTGGATAGCAGTATCCCATCGGCCCTGACGAAGGATTGCCGCCGTATGGCGTTACTTGTGGCCGGTAGTCATAAGGATTAGATGTCGTCACTATCTGGTGCGTTCGCTCCGGAGGGGGAGGATACGAAGTGGTGGTGCTGCTGGAGATGGACACTGTCGGCGCTGCGCTACTATGCCTAACCAGGTTGACGGCATCAGCTCCCGCCGCGTCGTAGAGGTCCACCATGAGGACGAAGTAGGTGCTGTCGATATCTTGGAAGTCGACTTCTCGTCCTGTCTGGTTGTCTACCACAACCAAGCGGATGCAGGGTGGGGGAGTGATCGGCCTTCGATCCTTGTCACCGAAGCCGCACATTCGAGCTCGGATAGGTTGCTGTTCGACAGACAGCTCGTACTTCTTTCCTGACTGAACAGGTATCTGCTGGTGCTGGATTGGCTCAGGGCGTCCAGAGCTGGTCCTTGTGTAGTTGTAAGCCATTTTATTTTGGTAGTATCAACGTGGCTTGGTGTATAGTGTTGGGTGTAAGGATACTAGACGGGGGCCTTCCGGAAGTTATATACTCGTCAAGATTTAGGCGACTGCGGAGTGCGCCAAGGACCAACGCTACAGACGCATCGCTGTTACCATGGTTGACTATGGAGACATTACCGCTTCGCAAGCCGCCGGCAAATCAGGTTCATCACATAATCAAACCACCAAAAGTATCCTTTGGAAGGTTTACAATAAAGCCATCGCGATTGGGGGCGCAAATGTTGGGGGATCATAGTTATGCGCCTCCACCATGATCGGCGCCAGTTCCCGGCGCCATTCTACTCGCGGGACGCGTAACACATCATGTCCAAATTCGCAACGCCTGAGGTATGATGTGATCAGTCTTCTCCCCGTTTACCACAGTATCTGCATTACCAATCAACAAATCGATTTTAAAATCATGGGCTATACTCAAACTCTAAATCCAGAACCAACATCGCGGATACGCGATAGCTACTGAGGTCTAGTTGGGTGTTTGAGACGATGTCTTGGATATCTGATAGGCTGTTTGTTCGTCTCCACACTCAAACACGATGCAAAGAAGGGTGAGCACATTTAACTGAGACTGCTACTTGACTCTCTTTCACACCGAACGTTGGAGCCGTACCTCTAGTGGGCAGGATAATTGTAACAGCTTGTGGGTTGCCATGCTTTGGTTACCATCCACCTCATCCACTGGTATTGCGAGCAAACGAGCCACTCACAACTTCTACAACTCTCAATGACCTAAACGAAAAGATTCTCTCGAATAAAAGAATTGTAATTATTTATTCTTGGAAGTGCCATAACTGAAGTGTGGTAACAAAGCGACTCTGCAACAACTGCGCGATAACTTTCTGCGGGTCCACTAATTGCATTCTTGCTCTACCCCACCCGAGAGTAACACGCTGTGTTGTACAGTAACAAACTAGCAAAAACTACATAGTGTAAGTCTTCACACCATGCCTTGGGTATGAAATTTAACATATGATAAGCAAGCTCCTTTGAAGAAAGAGTGCGTACGCTGCAGTACATGCTGTAGGCCTCCATCCAACAACACCTTTGCCTTGTTTTCGGTAGCATAGACTGCCGTGACACCAGAACCTGTCTGTCTATGAATCATTCATTTCTGCATAAACAGCTTGGCAAATCCTGAACTAAAGCTCGGAATCTTAAGACAGGCACTACCCCTGTGCTTCCATGTCGTGTCTATGCTTGCTTGTATCTTAGAATGCGCATGATGACTATCTAACCCCATTGGAAGAGTGTTTGCTTTTTCCCCTTGTTGCCCTTCTTCTTTCCTGCCGCACCGGCATCCTCCAGAGTTGGCGTTGAAGTTCCGCTGTTTGCGCCCGATGGGCCGGCCCAAGGGTTGCTCACTGGCGTATTACGTCCACTGTTGTCGCGTCGTAGAGCGTGGCCAGTGTATCCTGGGCTGAAGAGTGTGCTGGTGGGCTTCGCAGCTGCTGGGAGTGCTGGGAAGGCGTCTGATGCCGCGGGCTTCTTGTTTACGTTTGTTGATGACGCGACGCGTGATGGCATGGGCGAAGGACGCGCACTCGTTGCAGCAGACGAAGAAGCCCATGGCGTCTGTCCGGGTTTTGCACCGACGCGGCCCGACGGCGCTGGCAGAGCAGGGAAAGGATTGCTCGACGATGCGTTCGACCAGCTGGCTTGCTGGTTGGCTGTAGATCGTGATGATTTTGCCGTTGAGCTCTTTAGCTTCAGTACGCGAGAGCCTCCCCGCACAGTTGATCCACCGTTCAACGCCTGTTCTATCGCAGAGCCAGGTAATGAAGGGTAGTCCTCGTTGATGGCCTTCCAATCATTCCATGCTTTCAAGAGCCCTTCCCGCTTTCCCGGCATCTCGAAGATATCTGCCAGTTCCTTGATCAGCTTTCCCATCTCCTTCGAGTTGGCGTCGAATAGTGCAAAGAACCCCTCGATGAGCTGTGCCGCCGACACCTTGGAATTGCGATACGCTGATACTGCGGCTCTGAACTCTTGTAACTTGATCTCACTATTCCGAAGCATGTTTGTAGCTCGTTCTGTGACTGCGTTGTGGCGTAGCAGTCGAGCCTGCTCCTGAGGTGTTTGGGGAACCGGGTTCGCTGGTTGTATGTTCATGCTCAGTTGAGCTACACCGCTTGTGATGTTGCTCGCAATCGTTGGGGCTGGACGCGAGGCAGTTACGGTGGGAGGTTCTGAGGCGCTTGGGGGAGGCCTTGCAGCGAAAGCCTCGCCCGGAGTTGGTGCAGAGAGCTGGCCGCCGAAAGTTCTTCCAGTGACCGAATGAGTGTTTTGAGCTTCTAGCTGCCGCTGGTAAGCAAGCTCTGCTCTGCTCAGAGGTTGCGCAGATGATGCAGGCACCGGTTCTGCGTTTGGATCCCGTCCACGTCCACGGCCTCTGCCGCCCTCGCGTCTGCGGTCGTCTCGCCTGTTGTTGCCATGACCTTGCTCATGGGGCGCTCTTATTTGGAAACCAGACATATCAACTCTCCGAGCATCTCGTAATGCGTCCTTGGAAAGACCATTGGGATGCACTTCCAGCTGATGCGCCTTGAGATCCATCTCGGAATCAAAGACAACGAACTTCTTCTCTAAACACTCACGGTCCGGGCAAAGGAAGTGGTCTTTCCGGAAGTGCACCTCGAGGGAATCGTAGTTGACAAAGTATTGTTGTTTTCTGCTTCCCCCTTCTCGACGATCGCAAATGTGGCAGCGCTCGTGCTTGTCTCTGCAATGAGTGTAGAGCTCATCGTCACCGTAAAAACGTTGTCTGCAGAACCCACATTCTGGGTGTCCCTTGAAGCCACTCTGATCTATTGCTCCGGGGTTATCGTCGCCGAACTTTTGGTGTTTTCGTAAATCGGCCTGTGTGAACAGTTCGTGCTCGTGGGTGAAGACCTTCTTGTTTCGCGTGCATAGGTCACTTGAACATGTTAGCCGATGCAGCTGGTCTGAGACTATGAAGTACATACCACATCACTTTCTCGTGCGCCGTCTTGACATGGCGATGCAGGTCTGGCCAGCCCAGACAGGCAACGTCGCACTCGCTGTCGGGACAATTGTACTGCAGCAACAATCGTGCGTCTTCGAAAACGCCAGAATTCTCAAAGTGTATACCTAGAGTGTCATCGGATTTGAAAAACTCAGTGGTGGAGAAATCCTCGTAACTCTTCTCTGCGTCATCTGTAAGGATAACGTGGTCTGACTCTGTTCGGCAGTGCGCGCAAGCTTTCGTCTTGTATAGAGCCCGCATCCGGATGGAGCAAATATGACATGTGCGGTGGTTGCAGGGAGCGACGGCTGTGTGCTGAACGGGCGAGGCGCAAATGAAGCAGACTTCGGCATCGTCATCCTCGTCCGATTGCTGAAGGTTCGGTTTCACGAGAGTGGGTGGAGCCTGGCCGTTCTCTTCTGTCTCTATCGCTGGCGCCTTGCCCTTCTCTGGCGCATGTCCACCACGACCGCCCGCGCCGTCTCTGTTGCCGCGACCTCGCCCACGACTCTGGTAGCCGCCTCGTCCACGTCCTCTCCCTCCAAAGCTGTCGTGACCGTCTTCTGGTCCACCATGTCCACCATGTCCACCTCTACCTCTCCCGCGGCCTCTGCCTCCTCTCCGCTGTGGACTTGCAGGCACTTGTGTGTTTTCTTGGGCACCAGTCGAGGCCATGGCGGGGTATAAGATCTGGTCTCAGGGATATGTACAGGGAATTGATGGTATGATGAGTGTCAAAGTCTTGCGAGGAGCGACGAAGGGCTGTTTGCAGGCAGGCCGGCGAGGCCTCTTTCTACAGTAGGCGTTTGGTGGTGGGTTGGCGAAAGTTACTCGCGATGACGATGTTCAAAAGCGAACGAAAGCTATTAGGTGGCCCATGCTGAAACATGACTCAAGCACTTATAAATATTCCGAAGTGGCGCATCACCATGGTAGCCTCATGCATGAGTCGAAATGATTTGGCTATAATACCTCCGTGTGGAAGTAATTACGCGCTTATCACTGCATACCGTTATGTTGTCGGCATTCTCCTAGCGAAAGGGCCGAGATATGCTTCACTAATTCCTCCGATTCTTGATCCGTCGAATATCACAGCTCGCGTAAACCTTCCTCATCCTCATCGTACTCATCGTGGTAGAGCGACTTGAGCATGTCCTTGAAGTCTGGCCCTCCGCTGCCACCAAAGTGTTGCTGATTGATCCAGCCCTGCATGACGAGTATTTGATCGGTAAACTTCTCGGCGTCAAGATGAGCCTGTTCAGTTTCGGCGGCCTTCTTCTCCATCTCGACGGGGTCTTGCTCACTGTATGCGGCTAGCTCAGTTCTGAGCTTCTCGAGGTCTCTGGTGAGGTCGGCATGCTTCGTAATCAGTGTCTTACGATCGCCACCTGCTGACGATGAGTGTGAGCACGATCAGTGTTACTGTGGTATTTACCTGTTTCCATGAGCATATCCTCGTCTTCAGTGCGAGCTGCACCTGCATCATCCACTTTCGCCTGGAGTTGGTTCACAGTAGCGTTTGCCTTGTCGAACTCCTCTTGGGCTTTCTTGAGAGCAGCGTCTTTGGCTTTCTTTTCGTCGGCAGGAAAGCTCCAGTACCAGTTACCGCTGCCAATCTTCTCAACACGAATCTTGTTGTCGTCTGAAAGTGCTTGGAGGTAATCCTTGACTTGCATGCCGTTGATGGAGGAGACTTGTGGTAGTGTCTTCTCGAGGTCCTTGATGCTGTGAGCCTGTGCCGTCTTGTGGAACCAGGCAAGGATAGAAGCCGCTTTCCGCGGGTTGGGCTGGGTTTTCGGTGCCTGCCGAGTTTAGTGAATGCTAAAGTTACTCCTGTGTCCGAACTGACCATATTTGCTCGATTGAAACGACAGATGATCTTGTAAAAAGGTGAAGTAAGGAGGATATGCGAGAAGAGACGACTGTGATGGAGCGCGTGTAGCAGTGAGATTGTAAAACTCTTAATTGTGCCTTCGTAGCGAACGAGTTCTTCCAGGGCTCGAGGAAAGCACGCTATGCCGTCAGCTGCAAAAGGAGGCAGGTACGACCAGTGCTCAACTATACCTTTGATCGCAGCACCGCCTTTGAACATGCCACCAATATCGTGACGTTTACTCTAGCTCTTCCGAATCATCTTGCGACTCCTCCTCATCAGATGAAGTCCACGTTTCTAGGCGATCCTTTGCCTTTTCCTTCGCGCGCTGCTTCAGTTTACTGGCTTGAGCTTGCTTCTTGGCCCTGCCAATAGCTCCCTCTTTCTTACCACCCCGAGTCCAATCTTTTTGACGAGCAAGGACTTGCGCCTCATCTTCCTCAGCTGCTTCGGTGAAAGCTAAATCTCCAGTCTCACCTAGCACACCACGCGCCGTCTCTTCCATCAAGATACTCAGGGCAATGAGCGCAGTTTCATCCATGCCTCTCCAAGTCCTTCGCATGAGGCCGGGTCGCTCCGTTTTGGCCCATAGTGTCGAAACGTAGCTTTTCATTGCGTCTGCTAGATCTCCACTCGGAAGCTTTTGGTCTGCAGGCAACTTGGCGTGTGCAGGGTAGTAATCATCTTCCTCGTATCGCATGGGCGCATTCTTTCGCTTGAAGAGGACCTCATCTGGACGTAGTGGTTTTCTGGATGCCTTGGGATCATGGATGTGGTCGATCAGACCGGTTTTGGCGACTCTGCCTTGAGATATATTAGATTATGCAACCTGGCTGTAAACACGTGCGTCTCTTACGTTTGACGGCATCGTAGACGGTGGCCCGTCGCTTTCGTGGTCTCTTAACTACTTTCTTGCGACACGGCTTTTCGTTATCGGAAGCCATTCGACGTGGCCTCGGTACGCCTACGTGTTGGTGTTATGCTGAAGTACAGCGGACTGTACAGGTAAGCGGCTCGCTTGGCTGCAAGGCTTGAGCATCAGTGAATGTCTTGCGACTAGACATCCCTGTCGCGTTGTGGCGGCCGGGCTACAACGTCATAATCCTCTGCGCACCCTCTCCTTCCTCATTGCCCCAAAGCACACGAAGCATGTAGTCGCATATGAACACCCAACACGTGCTCGACAGGGCGTATGGCTTCATTCCCAACCACGTCCTTAAACGCGGCTACACCTCGCGTCTCACCTACGCGCTGCAACCATCGCCCACCGTAACCTTCAGCCAGCACCTACCCGCTCTCGATGACCCGCACGAGCGCATACCGGCGCATATATCCGGGGTTAATGCACTGACAATCGACAAGTTTGAGGGTCGATATCTGCTCTCTGGAGGTGCTGACAGCTCGATTGCGGTATGGGATCTCGAGGCGCAGACTACAGCAACCGAGGCGGGAGAGACATATCTCCCCTTGACGGCGGTGAACAAGACAAGCGAAGAGCACAAGTTGGGCATTACACAGATACAGTTCTACCCCTTCGATTCTCTGGCGTTTCTCACGTCGTCGTACGACCACACCGTCAAGCTCTACTCGAGCGAAACGCTCGCGCCATCTGCGTCCTTCAACCTCGACTCGGTCGTGTACAACATTGCGCTCTCGCCTGTCGCCTCTCATCTCCTCGTTGCATGCGCCACCCAACACCCCAATGTCCGTCTCGTAGACCTCCGTTCAGGCGCAACTACACACAGTCTTGCGGGCCACTCTGGTGCGATTCTTTCTACGGCGTGGAGTCCGGTGCGCGAACATGTTCTTGTCAGTGGAGCTACAGATGGCAGCATACGTTTCTGGGACGTACGTCGCAGTGTCGGTGAACTGGGTGTACTGGACCTCGAAGACTCAGTCGGTGTACTAGGGAAACCCACGTCCTTTACTCGCAACTCAAACAACGCTCAAGCACACAGAGACGCTGTGAATGGGCTCGTATGGACAGAGGACGGCAAACATCTAGTCTCTTGCGGACACGATGCGCGGATACGCGTCTGGGATACAGATACAGGTGCCAATACTCTTGCAAACTTTGGCCCCATGGTCAAGAACTCGGGTCTTGCGCCGCGCATCCCCGTTCTCGCACCAGTGCAGAACCTCCAGCCAGGTTCTGATCTCATGTTCTATCCTAACGAGCACGAGATCCTTACCTATGAGCTCTTTGACGGCAAGCTCATCCGTCGATTACGCCGCTCACAGCAGCCTCAGACAAATAACCCGGCCAATGCGTCCGGTGCTGCAGCGACAAAGGGGCAGCGCAATATCAGAGATAGAATTACAAGTCTGGCCTGGCGACCACACCATGTGGAGATGTACTCTGCGTACGCCGATGGCAGTATTGCGACGTGGAAGCCAAGAACAGAAGAAGAAGCCGAACTAGACGAGGAAGAGGAACTCGAACGGAAAGAGAAGGAGGTGGATAAGAAGAGGAAGAGGGGCGTACTGGATGAAATCTACCAGGGTCTGACAAAGAAGCAGATTACATTTGGCAACATGGGCTGAATGTATGAGCAAAAAAAAATGATCATCTCGCAATTGTGGAGAAGGATGTTATGCATCCTCCGGGAGCTACAGAAGTTGTTAGAATAGTTGTTGATGAAGAGGATGTGGGATATAACGTACTCGAACCCGGGCCAATTGCTTGGAAGGCAATTATCCTACCGTTGGACCAAGAATGCTTGATGAAGAAAAGTTGCTAGTTGTTAAAAATATACCCATCCCAGTCATACTCTTATAGAATGACTGGTCTCGTGAGCTTTCGCACAAAATGAGAATGTGCGCAGATAATAGTTTGCCATAAACGTTCTAGTCTATCATGGTGCACAACTTGTAAGAATGAGTAGGCGCTGTCGTCTTGCTAAAATCCAGTTCTATAGTGGGCCAAAGGCCCCGACCTAGAACAGGTGGGGTCGTGTGCATGAAATGATCCAAGTTCATCGCCAATGGGTTCATCTTGTATGATGAGCTTACAACTCAATAGTAATAATATTTGGAACAAGATGAATCAAGATCGCTCAGGTCATTAATTACAACATATGTTTTCCGCTACGTCTCTTCATGTCCCCGTTGCATTCGTCAAAAGACACTCCTTTCTCATTTTACGCTTCCCGTCTGTCTCTCCGTTTACTTGATGTCTATTCAGGCCCAAAATGCGGTAATCGAGCAGGAACAAACGCCTCTTCATCATCTTCTCCCCTCCCATCTTTGATAGACAAGGGTCGATTCGGCGTCACAGCCTTACTCGAATAATCACTCTCATCGACATGAAACCCACTGCTGTCCGGCATCGTCTGGGTATCTACAAAACTGGGAAAAGGTATCGAGTCGAACTGGTCAGTCAAAGGCGCAGTTTCGCCAGCGGGTGTGCGTACAAGCGGCGATACAGTCGAGCTTACTGCCGTCATTACATGAGCCGGCGACGAGGAGCGGGGCGTGCTGGATTTGGTAGAGAGCGCTTGTTGGTCAGGAGCTAGGCCACGCTTGACGGCGAGCTGTCGGGCTTCCTGACGTTTGCGATGGACTTCCATTTCTTCTTCTAGATGGAGACGTTCTTCTTCTTTATGTAGTTCGTCGAGGGTGGGGACTTCTTCAATCATTTCGGAGGCGGAGCGCTGAGGCAACGGGGGCTTATCAGAGGCGCTTGTGTTGCGTGAGGAGACTGTTCGGGTAGACATGCGGGAGGCGGAGGGTCGCTTGCTTTTACTTGAGCGCGCTTTGTTGCTGCTGGTGCTGTCTTCGTTCCACTGCCCTGTTGTGCGTCGCTCGAGCGCGATGGTGAACTCGTCGTCGAGCGGTACCGCGTCTTCTAGCTCGTCTTCGCTGGGGAAAATGTCGCCTCTAGAACTCAGCGAGTCGGTCGTGTGTCCGGATGTATGTGTGTTGCTTCTCTGCCTGCGATGTCCCTTACTCTCCGGCCCGTCCAATGCATCCTCATCACTGTCCTCAATCAACGGCTGTTCTTCCTCGAGGCTCCTTCGCGTTGCGCCCGGGTGCTCTGTGAGGTCTGCCGCCGAGGGCTTGTATCGCAGTCCCCTACCGCCAATCTTCCAAGGCAACCGTCCCAGAAAGCCAAAGTAAGAGGAACTTGGGATGAGAGTCGGGTCTTGGGCGCCGTCTCGTGGCAGCGTCGTGCTCTTCCGCCGCGGCGTGTTGTATCTGGCATCACGATTTCGCTGTCCATAACTCATGCCGCTCTGTCGACCAGGCTGCGTAGTTGCGCCATAATTGGCCGCGCCGCCGAGAAAGCGGTCGAGGTTATCTGTGCCCCAGCCCAAGAGGCTGTCGTTCTCGTCGTCCTCCCAGTCGTCGTAGAAGTCGAAGCTGACTTCTGCTCGGCCTCGTGATCGTCCGCGATTGCGCCGGCGGTCGTTGTGCGCTGGGAAGCATGGCGCCGTGCACGCGTTGACGCATTGGGTAATGGATGAGAAGCATGGGTTGACGTAGCGCTGTGTGAATCCGTAGATGTTCTCCTGCGCTGATTCGTTTGCGTGTTCGAGGTTCTCCGTGATTTGATGGAGCGTGCGATTCCACCTGGGGTCGCTGCGACGGTACATGATGACGATGACGGTGGTTATTACTCAGTAAGAACTCGTGATTATTGCGTGTAGCAGCGGACCGCTGCAATGCGACAGCGCATTGGCTTCAACACAGAGGCAAGCGCATTAACTTTGGGACAAACTAAGGTATGACGACGTGGTAGATGAGATGCGGCTCGGTTGGCATTCTAGGTTCAGATTCCCCAGCCCTGCGTTCCAGCGTTCCAGCGTTCCAGCACCCCACATCCAGCCTTTCACCCCCACAGTCTGGCTGCTTTCGGCACACGCCTTCCGACCAATCCTACCATGCACCATGCGATACATCCGCTTTCTCAAAAGTCCCCGCGTAGTCACTGACAAAGGCACCTCAAGAAAGCAAGTGCACTGTCTGATCACCATCACGTCAGATCTAGGGGATTCCTTTCTCCCTTACGATATTCAGCTAGCAGCAGAGCTGTTAGCAACAGCAGATTCAGAAGAAAATGTGCTAGTATGGTCGAACGCGCAATGGACGGCCGGCATGCGGAGTCTGCCCATCACATTCCCGCTTCCCAAATCCCAGGTATCGTTAACCAATCTGCGAGTAAGAGTAGGCGGGGAGCCGAAACGAGCGCACGATGAATTCTTAGCCATCTCAGAACCAGATGCTCGGGGCGTTGTGTCTGCCTGGAGTCCGCCTTTCACGTCTAACGTAGGTGCTCCGAAGTTGGTCCAAAGACGGTTCAAGCTACCTGATGGACCTGTCACTACTATATGGGAGGAAACGGGAGAGAGCATAGCAAGGCATTTGTGGTATGTAACTTCAATATGTAACGTATAGGTCCATAGGTACTGACTTGGATGTTTAGGGACGCTGGTATCACACTATCTTGTCAAACACCAGCTCTAAGAAATTCAACTTCTGACTTAGCAAAAGCCTTGCGGCCATCCCCATTCAAACCTCATTTCAATGTGCTCGAACTAGGCACTGGCTGCGGGATGGTTGGCATCGCAATGGCTCAAATCATCCCGAACTCCAAAGTGCTTCTGACTGACCTTTCAGAAGCTAAAGAGATCGTAGAGCGCAATATCAACTCAGTTACCATAGCACCAGGTGCCTCACTCGCATTCATGGAACTGGATTGGGATGCAGACCTACCTCATGATCTGCAGTCTACATCAGATCAGCTTGATCTTGTACTCGCTGCTGATTGCACGTACAATCCAGACAGCAGGTATGTCTTTCTCTTATACTGTTAAGGTGTCTTAGATAGATTCACCGAAACAACATTAATCTGACCTTCATCTACAGCCCAGCATTGGTCAACATTTTGGCACGACTCTCCAAAGCCAATCCAGGTGTTGTGGTTGCTATCGCCATGAAGATG